ACATGATGTCTAGACATCATGCTGATCAAATTACCAAATATAGTATATTTATGAGTTACACAAAATAAAATTTACTATATTTGGTAACATGATGTCTAAGACATCATGTCGGTTGATGCTTGAGCATCATGTTGAATGATGTACAAACATTATTCTACATATATCAAACATGATGTCTAGACATTATCCAACATGATGTCTGGATATCAACCTTTTGTCAAGGACGGCTTTCCATAAATATGATGTCTAGACATACCATCATGATGTCTAAACATTATATTTTATGATGTTTGGATATCAACCTTTTGTCAAGGATGGCTTTCCATAGAATTTCGTAGTTGAAGTTTATAGCTATGCTAATTCATTGCTATTGCTATAGCGAAAGAAAAAAAAAAAAAGCTATAGCGAAAGAAAAATACAGTTTTTATTATTAATAAAGATGTTTAATTAGTAATCCATGTACCAATCGGACCACCCCTTAAATCTGCATTTCCAATATAGGAATATCCAACAATTTTTAATCGAATAGATTGAAATTTTTAATGAAAAAACTTTGACATTTGCTTTATTTTATTAAAGTATCAAAAATAGCTCTTAAAAAAGTCAAACTTTCACCAATAAACTTTAAATTTCTTCAATTCGTAATTTGTGTAACCATCGACACAAAACCGAAAAATTTTTTCACTTAATAATTTGAAAATAAATGCTTTAAATATGTTCAGAACTTATATTTTAAGATAAAATTACCATTTTTAAATTCCTAAAGATTGATTTATAAAAGTTTCATATAAGCATTAAAAATGGGAAAATGGATTATTGTTAGTTAACCTTAAAGTAGGAAATATTTTTACATTTATTATATCATTTTTTTTTTAATATTCTATTAATATATGTCCAAAGTATATATGTGTGAATTTTGAGACTTCTTGCTAGTACTTTTATTAGAAAAAAAAATGATAAATAATTTTTACTAAAATTTCGCTAATTGATGATATTTAAAAGCAATTCGCAAAATTTTGAGTTTTGAAATACTTAAATTTATATTTTTACAAAATAGATTTAATCTCTAAGTTTTTTTAAAAAAAAAATTTAATTGGTTTGGCTAAAAATTGACCGACTTTACTTTTTTTGGAAGTGGAGATTTGATTTTGCCGATCACTAGGTCCGATTCATTCGTGGATCGGCAATTAATTTAATTTCTTTTCGCCCTTTAGGGTGAGTTTCCTTAATTTTATTTTTCATTATTTCCGTTTGATCTGGTTTATTGGGAATAATTCAATTTATTGATTTATTTTAGGTATTTAGTTTAGTATTAGTGTTTAGTTTTTTTTAACTGTAACTTAGAATCAAACTAAAGGCATGATTGTAATTTCCATAAATTTTTCTTAATAAGTTTTTATTGTTAACCAGTAAAAAAAAAAAAAAAAAAAAAAAAAATTGCTATTGCTATAGCTATTATAGCTATAGCAATATAGCAAAATTGCTTCTTTTGACATCATTAGAATAAAATCACAAATTATTCACTTTTGTGCCACTTTTAATGCATTTTTAATTGTACCATCAAAAAAAAGGTTTTTGTAAAAAAATTTAATTTCCGTTGATCAATAAAAAATTTCATTGATCAATGAGAAGACCATTTTTCAATAAAGATGATTACATATCAGTTTATATTTATAAAAGGAAAAATTCATGTGAATTTTTCTTACATACCAGTTTATGATATTAAAAATTTTATTAAAAAAAAAATCTCAATAATAATTATTATTAAAAAAATATTTCATTTTATTTATTACATTACACATTATTTATTTATTCAAAAAAATAAATATATTATTAACATTTATTATTTATTTATTAAAAAGAACTTTTAATATATTTAATGATGTATGATATATCTACAAGATTTATTTTTTAAAGGATGGCTTTTCTTTTGGGATGGCCTTTCTTTCACTTTTAAATAAAAAAAAGAAATCTGAGAAATTTCTTGGTACAAAATTTTATTGTTTATTTAATTAATTAAAAAAAAATTGGTTTGGTAAAATTTACAACCAATCAAAAAAAAAGAAAAATTTGAAAAAAAAATAGTTCAGTAAAATACAGCCAACCAAAAAAGATAATATTATTTGTAAGCTATAATTATATTAATAAAATATAATATAAAAAATGCAATTTTATATTTAAAATTCATGTTTATATATGCTTATTTTTTGTTTTCTTATTTTTTTATTAATAAAACTGAAAAGATAATTTTTTTTACAAACCAAGTTACATACCTTTAAACAGTATTACATCCAAAAAAATATTTACATTTATTAAAGAGAAATCATTTTAGTCATACAAAAAATCACTTAGGGGGCGAAATCCCCCACAAATCGCAACTTCTATTTTATATATTAAGATTGAATTTGCATAAGAAAACTATTAATCCATAAAATTAATATACAGAAAGAAGGTGTTTCTCAACTTCAATAAATGGTTATACTTTTTTGTTATATCATACCATGCTACTTTAATAAACTGGAAAATTTTCGCCCGAATTTCAGTAATAAATTATTTTCGGTGTTGGTATATTGAACTCTTTTGTAAATTATAGCGATTTTACCCTATAAAAAATTTTTATCCGAATATTTCCATTATTTCTCCGTGTTTTCCGTAAAAATTCCGTGAAAATGATACATTCACGGAAAAAACATGGAAAGATAAAACACGGATCAGATTTTTTACAGGGCAAAAAAATTTTGATGATGATATTTATCGTTTATCATCTTTGTGACTTTTTAAAATTGTAACATAAATGGTTAAGATGCTTAAGATAATAAGATATCAGTGAAATATCTATTAATTGTGTTAATAAGACATTATTACACTTTTAAAATTTATTAATTCTAATTTTTCTGATACAGTAATTAGGATTTCATATATTTCGGTCAAACTTAATGCCAACCAAATTAAATTTTAAATTGAAGAAATAAGAAGTAAATAAAACATAATTGAAATAACTAGACTTTATTTATTTATTTATTGAAAGAAAATTATATTTACAAATAAATAAAATATGAAATTAACCAATAAAAAGCTTTATGATAAAAATAAAAAATTAATAAAAAAATAATAATAGTGATTTTCAAGGAAGTAAATTAATTATGTGATGCGTATGTTATAGTTAATTTAAAGGCTTACCTTAATTCAAGAAACTTTTTTTTATTAATGTAATATTCGGTTACGATTAAAAATACATGTGAATAATATTATTGAATAATAAAGTTATAAAACAAATAAAATTGAAAATACATTATTGAATATCTTGTTACTTTCTCGATAACATTCGATAAATTAATAAATAAATAAGTAAATTGAAAATATTAATCAAAATTTTAATTATAGTTGTCGCTAGATCAAAACTTTTAAAGCACATGATGGTAAAACCATAATATTCTTTGAATTTTTTTTTTTTTAAAAAAAAAACTTTATTAATAACATGATGATCGCAGAAACTGCGCATCATGTTCTAGACGATGTGCATCTGCTAATAAAGTATTATTCTTTGAATTTCCTTTCGCTTCTCTTTTTCTATTAATCAATTTAAATTACTAAAGTTAATTATTTAATAAAGGATAATACAAATGTCAACAACAGGAAAAATGTAAAATGTAGTTACTGTTTCAACGTAAATTAGGAATATAATAAATGTAAATTATATTTATTACCATTAACAACACGATTAAAAAAAATTTTCGATGATTGATAATCAGACGTTCAAGACGTCACAATAATTTGACACGTGATCTGCGGTATAAAATTTATTCCGATCGCCGAAATTTATTTTTTTTCACTTTAATTTTTTTTCTTTCAAAATAAATAATAGTACATATTTTATAATTATTATATATCAAATATTCTATATGCATAAATTCAAAACTATCTTTTCAAAGAAAACTAAAAATGTCATTGAATACTTTGGTGTGTGTCATGATTGTAAAAAGCCTAATACCGGAATAGAATGGTGTAATAAATGTGACCCAGGACGGTTTTTAAGAGAAGGAAAAACGAGTGGAAATCCTGAAATAGACAAATTAATTCATGAATCACAACTTAATACTGATGATCGTTATAATTTAGAATGGATACCATATGATAAATTTCTTGATATTAAATCAATAAGTGAAGGTGGTTTTTCTAATATTTTTTCAGCTTCTTGGAATAATAAAAGGAGAAATCCGAACGGGTCTATTATAGTTGCACTTAAAAAATTTAAAAACTCAATAAAAATGACAGAAACTTTTATTAACGAGGTAAAAATTTTTTTTTACAAAAATTATAAAATTATTAAATTTTTAATTATTAAATTTTTTTTTATTTAAAATTATATTAATTATTTTTATATTTATTTAGATTAAAATGTATAATGAATTTGATAATTCTCTTCGTTTATATATCGTACAATTTTATGGTATAACAAAAGATCCACAAACAGAAGAATTTATGATGGTATTAAAATTTGCAGATGAAAGTTTAAGAGAGTACCTTAAAAAAAATTTTCATAATTTAAATTGGAAAGAAAAATTAAATATTTTATGTAATATTGCAGACTCTCTTGATATTATTCATAAGAATAATTATATTCATAAGGATTTACATAGTGGAAATATACTTCAATTTTATATGGATGTTAAAGTTACAAAAATTGCAGATTTAGGAATTGCAAAATTAATACAAAATTCAAGATCCTCTGATTCTTCAAATGTTTGTGGAGTACTTCCTTATATAGCCCCAGAAGTTTTATATGGAGAACCATACACATTTGCTAGTGATATTTATAGTTTTGGAATTATTATGATAGAAATGACAACTAGAAGGTCACCTTATTCAAATGTACCACATGATGAGAAACTTGCATTAGCAATTTGCAATGGTTTAAGACCAAGAGTAGCCAAAGGAACACCAAAAGTTTATATTAATTTAGTAAATCAATGCCTTGATGCAAATCCCGAAAAAAGACCCAAAAATTTATCTTACTATTTACATTATTTAAAAAGTTATAAGAATTTTATTGATATTAATTCACAGGATTCCACTTCAGAAAACAAATTTCATTCTGAAGCAATATACATTAGTCGTTATATGAGTTTTACTAATCTTACCATTCCAAGAAATTCTACAAAAGTTCAAATTGAAGATTCAAAAGGTGAAAATTTTAAAATTAACTTAATAGTTTTAAATTCAGAATTTAGAAAATTCAAATGTCTTTTATTTCAGTTTCAGATTCACAATTAATTGACCAGCATATTTCTGATGATTTTCAAAGTTCATTTGATCAAGGTATCTATATATTAATTATTTTTCTGTCATTTCTATTTTGTTATTTAACTTATTGTTATTGCATATAGATTATATAGAAATGAATGAAAATGTTGATAAAATCGATCTTATTAAATATTATACAGAAGACGATGAATAAGAATCATTTCTACTCTATATGTTGTAATATAATTATGTATTTTTTAGTATTAAACTATTAATAAGATAAAAATTTTTAAAGCCACTCATTTGAAGTATTATTTAATAAAACTTACCAATAGTGATCTGACTAAATTTATCTTGAAATAAAAAATTGATTACGTTCACAGGCACATGAAAAATTAATTATTTTTATTTGATATACTGTACATATCGTCGGATTTGTTTCATCACCCAAATATGCTGAATTTTGCATTATGTGGGCATAGCAAAGTTAAGGATGCGTTGCACGATATCCATAAAGGTGTGATTAAAAAAAAAATTTTTGACCGGAATTAACATAATTTTGGCCAGACTTATGATATGTAGATTAGTGTTACATCATATGATAACGATAAGCCACTCTAAAAAAATTTTTTTTTACTTTCGCTTCTTTTTAATTTAATTTTTAATTTTAAAAAGTACACAAGTAGTATATGAGTCTACAAGCTAAAACTTAAAAATTGATTTTTAAATTATAAATTTAATCTATTAATCTATTACAATATTTATAATACTTTATATTTCACTATTTTTTGTCATAAATGTTGAGCGTTCAAAATGTTTTATTTTTCTTATTATACTTAAATTTAAGATAACCACCCAAACTCTTTCAAAAATTCATTTTCAAAATATCTTTACAATAAGTCTTTTCAAATGAACCTATATAAGCAAAAAAAAAGAGAATTTAGAACAATATTATTTAAAAAAATTTTTAGATCTAAAAGGTAAAAAAGAAAAAAAATAGAAATAGAAAAATAGCCAAAAGAAATAAAAAAAAATCGCCACCAAATATTCATACAACTCACAAAATAACATACTATGTCGGATAGTTAAAACACGGTTTTTTTTTAAAATATTTTTTTTTTTTAACGTTGAAAAAAAATTTTTTTTAATTGATCAACAACTCACTTGATGTGAAATCTCGTGTTTGCAGATCAGTTTTAGTATTACGCAAAAGGACCAATGCAATAAAGTAATTTTATCTCGTGAATCAAATCCGCCCATATGATGGCTAAAAATTTATAATTTTGTAGTGTAGTGATAAAGTCGTTGTACTGTAAACGATTTAATATTTTTCTAGAATTTTTTTAGTGGGCAAATTCATAAAACAATTTGTGACTTTTTTTTTTACAATTCGTGACTTTTTACCTTTCGTCTTTTTATAAACCATATAACTTAAATATTAGTATTATTTACTATTTCATGGGGAGTTGGGTTTTTTTCCCGAAAGTAAAAAACACTAAGCTAATCACTCGCAATTTTTAAAAATTAGTATGAAGGTGATCATGAGTGACACTTTGTGCGACAGAGGATTAATAGTATTAAAAATAAATTTCATTCATTCATTTATTTTATTTTATTTTTATTTTATCGATTATATACTACTAGTAATAAATTACAACATGATCAACTACAAGCCTTGAGACTATTTCTTTAGAATTATAACATATAAGTAAAATTTCGGCTGAGACGAGTTTTACCTAATTTGGTTTATGAGAAAGTTCATTTGAAAAGCGGATCGGATTATGAATAGAAGAGTTTGACCCGAAATATCACTAATTATTTGCGGAAAGTAATTTTTTTTTCGGATATTTTGATAAAAAAAAAAAAAATTTTTTAGCCGACTAAAATTATTATTTACTGTATTATATGAGCCGATCTGGAGGGCAAGTTAGCAAAATCTTAGACTTTTTCTTTTGGATATTTAATATAGTATTATTTAAAGTGAAATTGTAAGGAAATAGCATAGCGTGTGACTACAATTTTCATTAAATAAAAAGATGAATCGAATTTATTGTATCATGATCATAAAAAATTATTATACTAATTGTAATCTTAAATTTAATAGTAAGAAAGTTTTTTGATATGATTTTAATAGAACGAATCATGTATTTTCTGAACGTCATTATTCGGTAACACCAGTTCCGAATTTTAACCGGATAATCCGGCTATTTAAATATTTTATAAATTTTATTAACATTAAATGGGACAAAATAATATACAATATCCACTTCCAATATTCATACTGTATGAAATTTATAAAGCATATTACTTTACCTTGGGATAAATTTCATTTGATAATGTACGGATGTTCTGCATTTTATTTAGTATACTAGTATATAAAAAAAATGATGTTCTAAAAAAATCTTATAATTGCAAGAAATAATGTTCAAAGAAAATTATTATAGTCATAATCAAATTAACGCCTCGTTAACATGCAACAAATTAGTATTTTTTGACATTTACTTGTAATTATAAAAAATGGGACATAATTAATTTCATATGGTTACTTATAACATTTTTAACTATTAAACATGACTTTCAAATTTGTAAGTACGTCGTATTTTTTTGCCAAATATTTTTCAGCTAAATTAAAAACGATCCTGGTTTATGATTTTTTTCAAGAGGTTATTTTTTTTTTTTGAAGAAGAATTGGCGCTATTGCTTAAGATAACATATTGTACATGGACTTACATCACTAGACGAATAATACTGATTATTTTTCTTAAATTTTCAATTTGAGAATAGGAAATCCATTCATTGTTCGTTTTAAACAATTATTTTGAGTTCACGCTTAAAACTATACACTGATAATACTGTATGTTTAAATGTTCACATTTTTAACCATCCCTAATCCCTATAAAGCATCCGATATTATATTTAGTATGCAAGCAGGGGACGACTACTCTAGGTGCAACCTTTACACTAGCACAAATAGCTGAGGACCATGCAACCATTGCAACGTTCATTCGAAGTCAATGATTTTTGTTAACAATTGTTTTTAGCATATTTCTAATATTACATTTTAATATAATGGTTGAACTTTATTAGAATTAAATCATTTTTTAGTCAATAATTTAATTTTAAAATTTTATAAAGACGATTTTTTTTTTTTTATTTTTAATAGTAACGCATTTTATTAATTATTTTAAATATTAAAATTTACATAATTAATTTAAAATACTTAGAGCCTAGTATCGAAATACTAAACCCTATAACTAGAATTTACATTTTTAGTTTAACGATATTAAACATAGCACTTAGATAGATATAGTTTAGAATAGATAGTTTAAACTTAAACTAAAAAAAATTATATTATATTTTAAAATCAAAAGTTTTCAGTGTTAGATCCCAGGCCAAACCTTTGCTTGCTCCTTCTGTTAAAGCTCTAATCATTCTATCTCTCGTTACTATGTTAATATTTTTATTATTATTTTTTTTAATTCTTTTATCTTTTTCATTTGTTTTTCTAATTTTTCCTTTTTTATTCCCGTTATCTTTATCATTTTCCTTTTTTTCTTTAGATCCTGCTTTTGTATACCTTCAATTTTCTCTAAACGTGATATTTCCTCGCAACGTGGTATCCAAATTCTTGATCTAAGTTCTTCATAAGTAAAGTTCCATAATTCTTTAATTATAATTCTTTCTTCTTTTTTATTGGTTATTTTGTTGAAATTATCGTTAAACACCCCTCTCAGAAGTTCCCATATCCGATTCTTCCCTAAAAGGTTTTATAAAGACGATTCGTTTCAGTTATAGAAGGAAAAAACAATTAATTATATTAGAAACTTTGATCACTACATTGTGTTACATACTGTACTAGGAACACAATACAAATTATAGATTCGTGTTACATACTAAGAACACAAAGGATAAATGTGACTAATGGAAAATTAACAAAGAAAAAGTGGCACGTAATTCCGGGAATCATTCAAAAAGGAAGTGATGCTTATCAACAGGTAATAAACAAAATTTTAACGCACATTCAATAGATTTCTATGAAAGAAAAAATTTTATTATTATTATCTTTTTTTTTTTGTCTTTTACTAACAAGGTCTGAAAATTCGGTTTATTTACTGTTATACTATTGACTTTATGCAATATTATTATTCTATCTAGTATTCAACCCAGAAATTCTTGGCATGAAATGAATAAAATATAAATAAGGCTGTTCCAACTTGATTATTTGTTTAATGTCCCTCATCCTCCTCTATTTTTTAAAAAATTTGAGATCTAATAAACACATTAATAAATACCCTCTCTATTTTTGAAAAAATTTTTAGGCTAATAAACATATAGTGATAAATATTCCCTTTAAATTTTGCCTGAAATTTTCAAAATTTCTTATGTTTTTTTATTTAGTTTGTTTAACTTAAAACCCCCTCCCCCTTAATTTTTTCAAAAGGCCTGAACGTTAAACAAACAATTAAATTGGAACAGCCTAATTAAAAGAAAAAACTACTTAATTACAAAACTTTTTGTAATTTCTTTTTCAAAAAAGCATCTCTTGTCAATTTTATTGTTCTTAAAACACAAACCTTTTGTAATTTCTTCTTAAAATATGATCTCGCAAATAATACAAGTATTATATTTAATTTTCGTCCTCCTTGACCTGTTGCCACCTTATACCTCAGGGAAAATTCCAGATATAGCAAATATTCGTAGCAGTTTGAACGATCAAATTTCAAATAAAGCAAATAATAGTAGCAGTTTGATATGGCGAGCTGTGCTTGACAAAAGGGTGACGCATCAAATTCCAAATAAAGCAAATGATTATACAATAAGTTTGAACGATTAAATCAAAATTTACGGCGTAGCGATAAAGTCGTTATACCGCAAACGATTTAACTTAGAATTATATTAATAGACAATATCATATTCTTACACCACCTTACATTCATTAATTTATCGTCGATATACTCGATTAAATACATATTTAATTTTTCGAAGTAAAATACAGCATTTTTTTTTATATAACTTATGACTTCGTAATTATTAAAATTTGTTTATTTTATTTTATTTATTTTATTCTATTTTTTAAATTTTGTTTATTCTATTTTATTTATTTTATTCTATTTTATTTTATTTTATTTTATTTATTTTATTATGTAATTTTTTTTTTTTGCACGTATTATATGTAAATAATTAATAAATTACACTACCCTTATTTTTTAATAATAAATCGTATAAAAAATTTTCTGAAGTATGTTTTGTTATGTCACAGTTTTACGCAACTTTAACGGGAAAAGGACAAAAAAAAGAAAAAAAAAATTTGAGCTATGCTACGCACACACATGGGTATAAAAATTAAAATTTTAAATTAAAAATAAAGAACGCTTAAATTAATAAAGTATTAAAAACCATTTATAGTTTGGCAATCATGGGAACAAGCTAAGTTATTAAATAGAAAAATGTTAAACTTTACTTTCTGTAAGTAACGAGAAATTGTTTGGAATTTAAATTAAGATTTTTCTTACAAAAAATTCTTGGTATAATGTAAGTTGAATATACGGTAAATTATTAAAAGATTCAAAGAATTATATTAATATTAAGATTTTTCCACATATACATTCACGATTTTAACGATTATTTAATATCGTATTTTTGACAAAATTTCGCCCATTATTCATACAGCGGTTAGATTTGATAGTCTTAATATTATTTTGATCAAGTAAATCATGCTCGAAACCTGTTTTAGCGTGTGTTATGAAAAGTGTATTAACTTATTTATTGCCAAAAAACTTTAGACGAAAAGGAGACTATTTATTGTATTAAAAGAGTTAAACGTTTTTGAGTGAATTTGGAGTGGATAACTCACTCCATCAATTAATTTTGGACAAGCAAATGTTTCCACCGAATATAGGACCAGGTATTTCATGGACCGCGGAATAAAAAGGAGGAATGTTAATATAATAATTATCCGTTTGAGATAATTGATTTATTAATAATTTCTCTTTCATTTTTTAAACTTTCTTGAATCGCATTCTTTTTTTTATAAGCAAAATATTCAATGGTCTTCTCACGTTTTCTTTGAAAATTATCTTTGAAATTGTCCTTTCATAACATACTTGATATTTTTTTAGATAAATTATTACTGCGTAATATCTTTGATATTTTTGACGCATTACGTCATTTAGATTAAATACTACACATTAATTTTTATAGGTAAAATACCTATTGTTTATTATACTTTTTATATAGACTAAACATGATCCTGGACGTCTACATAATAACACAGTTATTATTGTGTATGCCTACCCAATAACTAATATATACTAAGATGAGAGCGGGTAAATTGGAATTTTTTTATAAATTTTGAAATATTAAATTCCATTTACCAAAATTTTATTACTATTTAACATAATTGAAAAGGTCACTATTGTACTTAATTTATATTTATCTGGCTTTTGTACTATATAATTAATTACAAAATCAAAAATCATAGAACCTAAATTTTAGAAATAATACAGCTAACTCTTAACACTGCTAATAATAAATTTAAACTCATCATCAATTATAAGGATTGACGTTAACGATTTCCCTAAGTTCTTAAATTTTATCATAATTATTAAGATATAATAATTATTGAAAAATGAGAAATGATAAATCGTTCTATTGAATCACTAAATAACAAATATACAAAACTTCGTAATACTTGATAAAAGGTGATACAATAGTAAATTAATAATGTATCAAAATATGTTGTCTAAATGTGTCAATTTTTATTTATATTAAAATAAAAAAGTTAGAATAACATTAATTTCACAATGTTTAGTTATTATTAATCTTTCAGTACTTCAATTTTCATATCGTCATCTTACACAATAAAAAAAAAGCTTTAGTTAATTTAATTATATTTTATTAAACATAATAACATTCAAATAAAAAAATACCTTGACTCTGTTCTTGAATAGCAATAACAAGCATGCGGTTAATTAAATCAGAATCCGAAACTATAAAATGAAAATTATGTAACTACACAGTAATTATATATTATATATATATTAAATAAGATAATATTCACCATTATTATCTTCAAATTGAACTCTTTGGGAATTTACTGATTTAGGGAGATTATTAGGAAATCTCATATTACGACTAATATAAATTGCTCCATCATGTAATGTTATTTCAGCAGGTGATTCTAAGATAATTTTATCTGCCTCAGAAAATTCGTCAAAGATTTTTGATGGTTTTTTATCTTCTAATTTTAATTTCCAATTTTCAAATATTCTATATAATTCAATACTAGAAGGTCTTTCTTGTGGTTCTGCATCAAGACACTGGTTTACTAAATCAATATAACGTTTAGGTGTTCCTTTAGCAACTCTTGGTCTTAAACCACTGCAAATTGCAAGTGTAAGATCATCATTATGAGGTACAGTTCCATAAGGCGGTTTTCCTGTAGTTAATTCTGTCATAATAATCCCTAAGCTATAAATATCACTTGCTTCTGTATAAGGTTCTCCTTCCAAGATCTCAGGTGCTACATAAGGAAGTATTCCACATACATTTGTAGAATCTGAAGTTTTAGAATTATTTATGAATTGTGAAAGCCCAAAATCAGTAATTTTTGTGTCAGGAAATTCATCATCATTAAGGTTTAAACCAAGACTACTCAATTTAGAGTTTAAAGATTCGCCAAAATTAAACGTTGGATCATTAAAACCAATGAGTATGTTTCCACTATGTAAATCTTTATGAATACATCCTGATCCATGAATAACTTGAAGATTTAATGTAACAAAAGATAATATATTTAATTTGTGTTCCCATTTTAAAGTAGAAAATTTTTCTTTTAAATAATTTCTTAAATTTCCATGTTTAGCATATGCTAAAACCATTATAGGTTCTTTTGATCGTGGACCTCTTGTTATACCGTATAATCTAGTGCTACCAGTATTACATTCATTATGTATTTTAACCTAAGTAAAAAATATTTATTAGTAATAACTTCAAATAATAATTAACCAAAAAAAAATTTTATTCACCTCATTAGTAAGAGCTTCCATGATATTTAATGAGCTCTTAAATTTTTTAAGTGCAACTGTAATAGGACCAGTACGTTCTCTATGGAGTTCATTAGGTTCTCCATCCAACCAAGTAGCTGAATAAACAATAGCATAGCCTCCTTTACCAATAGGTTTAATATCTTGAAACCTATCATAAGGTATCCATTCTAAATTATGATAATAATTATTTGTTTGAAGTTGTGATTCATAAATTAATTTATCTAATTCAGGATCTCCACTTGATTTTCCTTCTCTTAAAAAACGTCCTGGATCACATTTATTACACCAGTCTTCTCCAGTATTTGGACTCTTACAATTAGAACATACTCCCTTTTCTTCAATTTCATCTCTTAAATCTTTTGAAACAAGAGCTTTAAATTTATATTTTGTATTAAGTTTAGTATAATTCATATTATATAAATATTATATAAAATTATATAATAGTTATTTAAATAATATTTGATATATAAAATGAAATGAAAGTTTGGACAAAAAAAAGAAAGAGTAAACCGGAAGTTTAAAATTTATTTTTCTTGAATACAAATTAATAAAGTGTAACTATTCGTGCATATGAAAAATATAATTTGTAGATCCAGCAGATCACTAATTCAAAATTGGAATAGTCTGTACAACATATTTTTTCAGCCGCACATATCACATTATAAATCGAAAAGGAATTTCATACCTTATCAGTACATTCACGGATTCACCAATAAACTAGTATAATGAACCATCCTTTCATATACTTGATATATATTAAGTAATAATGTATTTGAATGGATAAAATTGAAAAAATAAATGATGAGTTTTATCAAATTATGAAACTTTTTAATTTCTACACCAGTTTGTATAATTTCTTTTGAAACAGTGTATCTTATATAATTTACACCACTCAGATTAACATCACATTCTTTATATTTCAAGTTGACATTTAAATAAAACTCTTTTCGGTAGGTCGCCATATGGCTACAAAAAAATACAATGACATATAATTCGCATTTTTACATGTTCAACATTTGATTTTAAATTAAAAGAGGTACCAACTTGAATAACGTAAATGTCTAAATGATTTACGGATGATCATTGGATCATATTCGATGATAGTTTGTTTACAAGGATGAAAAAGTCATTTACGATTATCTATTTGAAATAAAATCTCAATAAAAACTCTCATAAAAATGAATAAAAGGGGTTAAAAGAGTAACAAATCGTAAAGTACAATTTCATAAATAAATGCCTAATCAAAATTGTTATTCTTATCGTAATAAACCATTTATTGGAGATTTGGAGAAGTATCAAGTATGATGTAAAGAATTATGCATCTTTAATATTACATTTCAAATCTTTTCTCCTGCTTGTTACCAATACTCTCATGCGAGAATTGATACCATAAAATTATAAAATTCAAAATATTCAAAATATTCTAATCATTGATGTACAAATTTATAATATAGTATTAAAAATAATAAACATTATTGGTAATACTTTCATTATAATGTAATCAGATTATACGAGACCCATTTTCTATTATTAAAAAAGGAGAACGGCTGGGAGGTACATGAAGTCTTTGAATTCTAAACTAATAATCGTATTGATAAGAACTTAACAAAAAATTTTTTTTTTTTTTAACAATTTTAGCCACTTTGACAACAAAATAATTGAATTTTGAATTTAAATAGGCCAAATAATCATGTATATCTTTCTTTTTTGGACAATTTTCGATAATGCTGGCCAGAGTTTTATTTCCTGTTCTAGTAGCTGCCTGACACTAATACTGTAATTTTTTTTTGGCTAGACCTTACCTATTTTAATATTTTTTGAGTGTCCTCAATGCAAATTGTGTATTTATTACCTAAATATTTAAAAAGAATTTGTATAAAGATAAAAATTTTTTCAAGTAAATTTTGATATGATCGACATTGAAATTTTACTAACAAGCCTTATTACATAATGCTTATATAAGTAATTTATGCAGATTTTTGTGTTACCTGTTACTTGTACATTACAAAGTTTATTATAAATAAGATTTTTATTTGGAAAAAATTTTGAACTTTTGAAAACAATGTTTTCTCAAAAAATACTCTTGACAGAAAATAATATTCAGGAATATTTAGAAATCAATCGGGCCAGTGAAAATAAAAAAATTGATGATTTCATACAAGAAAGGCAACTTAAAATTAATGATTCTG